TGACGGAGGCGCTTCGGGGCTGGAGACGGAGTTTGAGAAGGGCACAGGAACTCGAGATCGCAACTCCAGACGCCACCTTGTTGCTCAGAGCGCTGGACAAAGCTATCCGGGAGACTTTGACCTCCCCTGAGTTCCAGGTGAAGCGAATGGACCTGGATGCCTGGAAGAGACACCTGCTGAACGGGCATCTGCCCTATATAGCAGAGAATGCAAGTCTTGCGTCATCGCCGCATCACGCGGCAGGGCTCAGAAGAGGATCCCACATGCAGACGCCTATACGCTGTCGATTGACACCGCTGGACCGTTCGAGTTGGCAGAGGATCAACTTGGGGAAGGGCCGGTACCTGCTTGTGGGCGTCTACCTTGCCCCGGTGACCAAGGACGGCCAATCCCTGATCCCGATCCATGAGGAGGACGAGTTGCTCGGAGGGAGATGGACCGGAGCTCACGGTGGTCGACGAGGAGGGGATGGATCATGGCCGGACCCGTGGCCGGGCTTGGACGACGAGAAGGAGTGGTTGTCACGAGTGGAGGTGGAACAGGACTTCCAAGTCAAGCAGGTGACGTTTGCGGAGGTCATGGAGAATCGAGGAGGGTCCGCTGTCCTGGAAGCGGTGGGGAGGATGGTGGCGAAGCTGAACTTCCTTGGCTTCCCTCTGAAACGACTCCACTCAGATCGTGCAGGTGAGTATCAAGGCAGAATGTTCGACAAGTGGATTCGAGACAGAGGGCTGTGTCGCACCTTTACAGATGGCGACAACTTCGGAGGCAACGGCGCAGAGTGTGCGGTGGCACAGTTGAAAAGGGGTGCCAGAACCCTCCTGGTGGCTGCAGGGCTCGATGAAAGCTACTGGTGTCACGCCTCGAGGCACTGGGCTGAAGGACGACTCCGACGGCAACTGGAGTCGATGGGGTGCCTACCTGGATGATGTCGCCCGTATGGAACAGCTTGCCTGTCGACAGCTCCTGCACAAAATATCCAGGTGTCGTCATCGACATCGTGAATGCCGGACATAGTACCCTCACCTGAGTCCTCGTCGTTGACAGGTACTTCTGCCGGTCGCTGTAGAGCTTCCTCTTAGCCCAGACCGTCTGTCCGAAGGGCACTATAGCTCCCGCCGTTTCGACATGCCGGAGGGGGTGGAACTTCCAGATCGAGAAGCTGGAGAGATCCATGAGGTCGATGACCGGGAGGACGTCCCTCAGCCTCGGAAGAGACCGGGACGGACTCGAGGAAGCATCAAGCTGCTTCAACTGGAGGCTGGGACAGGGGCCGTTGACTGGGGGGAGCTGCAACATCGAGGAGCGCAGATGTTGTCTCACGAGCTTCAACTGCTGGAGGAGGACACCGCTGAGATCAGGAACGAGAGATTTCTGAAGGCTCTCACCATGGAGATTGAGGAGATCTGCCAAGAGGCCGTCCGAGCGAACCAGCAGGCCAAGGAGGATTTGATCGCTGAGATTGAGACGAAGGCGGAAGAAGCTCCGGAGTTCCTCCAGACCCGGATGGTGGGCCTGTCAGAAGTCAGGAAGAACATCGAGGAATGGAAACCATCCATGATTAAGGAGTACGGAGCTCTGGTGGAATCTGAGGCGGTGGAGCCAATCAACAGGGAGAAGATGATGGAGATGAAGCAGGAGGCTGTGAACACCGGACGGACCTTCGACATGCCCCCTGCGAAGGCCATCTTTAGCAGAAAAGCCGGCTCAGGCAGACACAAATGCAGAGGAGTCGCCTGTGGAAATCACATGAAGCTCCGCAGCGACGAAAGCACCTTCGCATCGGGTGCAGGAGGACCTGAAGTACGACTTCTCTTGAAGGTCGCTGCCACCAAGGGCTGGAGTGCATCAACGGTGGACGTGAAAACCGCCTTTTTGAATGCTCCGGTCGACAACTCCGCTGACCGGGGGGTGGTGATCGTGGAACCTCCTCGAGTTTTCCGTGATGCACAAGTTCTCAGGCATCCAGAAGAGTTGTGGTTGGTCCAAAAAGCGTGATACGGACTAACCACGTCCCCTAAGGACTGGTGCCTTCACCAAGACAGGTGCATCAAGGAGTTCAAGTGGAAGAGGGAGACCACAACCTTCAAGGTCGAGAAGACGGCCCAGGACGATGTGTGGGGGATCTACAGTCGGCAGGAAGAGGAGAGTGACTGGAAGCTGGCAGGTTTGTGTGCCACCTATGTCGACGACATCATCATCGCGGGAATGGAGGAAGTGATCGATGGCATGCATCAGAAGATCCGGGAGAGCTGGAAGGTCGGAACCGACCTGGATCCGGGCAGGAGGAGACCCTGTGAGGATTGAGAAGAAGGGAGGTGACTTCGCCATCCACCAGCGAGCCTACTTGGAGAACCTCTTTCTGGAGTATGATGAGCATGGAAAGGCGGCGTGCTTCTACGACCAGGGGCACTCGAGGATTTGGATATTCTGCTCACGAAGAACTATATATTGTTGGGCAGAGCCAGACGACCCGACCTATCAGCGTCAAGAGCTTGGCACTACCCATCCTGTTGATCGCATCTCGGTGAGGGCGATGAGAGTGAGCTCAAGTCCCGGGCAGGCATCCATGGCGTCGACTGGGCAGACATCGGTATCGGAGGCAGTGGCTAGCGACCTTCGAGTACCTGATTCGGGACTATGGTGCCGAGGAGCCTATGACGCAGAGACAGAAGGGAGGCGTCGTGCCAGTTTGGGCTTGACCATGAGCGGCTGGGACCGCTACATGACCCGACGAGGACCACGGCGAGACTATGGGGGAACATGGGTGATGATGGACTCTGATGGAGTACACTTCGTGGCTCGTGATCCAGGCGATGGCCGAGGACCAAACAGGAACCCAGAGTCAGAGGCTCAAGGGAGTGGAGGAGATGGAGCACAACCTCAAAAGAGGGTGACACCCAACCTGAAGCGCACCAGTGGAGGGGACTTCCAAGGGTGGAGTCATGGAGACTGGTCACAACGGTCGAGGAGGGCATTGTGCTGGGAAAGTGGTGCCATGATGAAGAGATGTGGGACTACTTGAGAACGCCGGGCTGTCAGAAGGGCTTCATCAATGAAGCGGTGCTGAAGGTCATCTCGACTCCACCGCGACGAACCGCGGCCAAGGACTCGTGGGACTACCTGATCGACTTTGAAGGAGGGAAGAAGATCGGGATCAGGGTCCACTACCAGGAGAGAAAGAAGCTGTATGACTTCGAGAGCGAGACACTGCTCGAGGAAAAGTGGGGAAGGTGGAGGATGACGGTGGCGTGGCACATCACGTCCAAGAGGAAGACGATCCTCGTCGACGAGAGGAACGGGAAGAGGGGCTGCCTCTTGGACCTGTGGTGGGGCTACACCGTGTTCAAGACGGTCTGAAGCGAAAGGGTTTGAGCCCCCCTGCAAAAGGGGATTTTGAAAGTTTTCCCAACCGGAGTGCACCGGCCTTCGCTGAAGCATCGAAGGGGGAGTGCTGGTGCACAAATCGAGAGTGTACCAGACTATAGAGGTTTGAACAGAGTGCACAAATAGAGAAGTGTACCAAGTTGACCAGTGCGAAACGCACAAATCTGAAGTGTACGACCGAAGCCCTTTTTAGACGGAAAAAGGCTGCCAGTGGGGCAGACGCGAAATGCACCCATTTATTTGTTTTTCTAGCGATCAAAGATACGCTTTTGAGCGCCGCGCAGCCCAGACCAAGGTCAGACTGGGGACCCAAGCGACAAGAATGCTTCATGCATTGTCCTTTTGCAAAAACACTTCTTGAGTTTCCTCAGCACCTCGTTCACTCCTGTTGCCAAGGTTCCAACCGTTTGAAGAGCAAAGACCCAATCCAGCAGTGCATTCAGCAGGTGCGACGGGTAGTCTGGGGGGATGCCAAAAGCATCAGTCGTGTTTCGAAGCCCCTTAAAGAGAAAAAACGGTTTACACAACATGAGATACTGCACCCATGAATGATGCATTTGCCACCAGATACGGGGTTTTCAAAAATTTCCTAGCAACCAATTGAATAGTGAATAGTGCAAGCGCTACTTGAAGAAACATGAACTATCCTGCATGCAATAGGGCGTGTTAGTACCTAATAGAGCTACTGGCTAGTAGCCTATACCTCTTCCTATAGTGACCTACCCCCCTGGGCACAAAACATGTAGCGGCAGGCCCGTTTACTTTTCTGCCGATTCAGCGAGTTTTCAGGTCGCCCCGTGGCAGTGCCCCGCTGGCGCTTACGCGCTCTTCTTCACCACTGGCAGCGGGCATCGCGGCGTCGTGGCTGGCAGTGCCTCCAACGACTACTGCAAAGGGTCGCGCAGCAGGGTCTGCGAGCTGTCCTGCGAGCATGGCGCAATCTGGTGACGCGAAAGGTGGGTGAATGCATTAGCACCAACGTGCCTAGATAGATGGTGGGTCTATGTTGTCGACCCTATTGCAAAGTTGTCGCAGAGTACCCCACACTAAAATGCAAGCCAGCCACATTTTGGTTTCCTCTGCCATCCTGCAAGGTGCTTCTTCTGCAAAGACATCAATTTGGTGAAAAACTTGGTGACCTTCGCTGGCGGCACTCTGGACTCCAAGCCTTTCATGCCTGGAGGGCCTGCTCACAGAGCCAAAGAGCTCAAACCAAGTTGATCCAGTCAGATCCACCAGATCCATCCCCTGACCCGAATGTTTTGTGCTGTCGCTGGGCGCTCCGCTTTTGGCACATCACCGTGGTCAGCAGTGCATCGGCCAAGTCCTTGCAGCAGCGTGCGATGCGCTTACGCCTGGAGCAGCAGGCAGCCGCGCACCTCTTCACAGCAGCGCGGCAGGAGGAGGTTGAGGCCCGGTGCCAGCTGGACGCTTTGAAAGCCTGGAGAGCAGCAGCTCTGAGCGCTGTGTGAGAAAACAGACCAGACTGCCTGCCCAATGCCGTGATTTTAGGGAAGTAATTGCAAATGGCAACACTGGGTTGATTTCTTAAACAAGATCAGTGATCCTTGATAAGTGTAGCTGATTTTGAACTTTGAACAACAACAGCCCAGGTGTTTCTGATGATGCCTTGTTCAAGGATGTGACCCGCATGTACCTCATGCTTCATGCGGACCATGAGGCTCGCGCGGCAAGAAGCAGTAAGGTCGATGCTGGGACCAAACTTTTTATTTACACTAAGATGCCCAGAGCCAGCAACCTTTTGATTGCCTTGATTGCATTGTGGTAGACATTGAGGCACGGTCTATGGAGTAGTTGATCATTGCACATTCACCACACCTCCTCCAGCCAGTTGTGATTGCATCGTAGCGTATGTACTTCACAGCTTCACTCGACATCATACCCATGGTGCCAACATCGTTTCCCATGCTATGAGATACCACAGGCGGGCAATGTCTCGGCTCATACCACTCACCTGGTTGGCAGTGCCTTGAGTGATCCGTGCTCTCCGGCGCGACAGAGAGTTGCTGTCTACCTCAATGGAGCAGTCAAATCCGAATCAATAGTATGTGTTGTGAACTCTACATTCTTATCATTCTTTCCCAAATGTGTAGCAAGGCATGTTCTTGTTTGGACCTCGCTTCGTGAGGTTTTTCCGTTTGCGTCACCGTTGCCATGTGGGTTTCGGTTTCCGGAGGGATGTGCTTGGAGTGTTTGAGTGCGTCTGGATTTGCTGTTTTAGGGCCTTGTGAAAAGGTGCAGTGTTGCGCAAAGGTGCCCGACAAGAGTGTTAAGCAAAATGCACCAGAAAGTGTCACACAAGAGTGCCCCAACAGATAGATAGATCAGCACTTCAAATACAGAGATAGACAGAGCGAGTGAGAGGGAGACAGACAGACAGGCAGGCAGGCAGGCAGGCAGACTGACTGACTGACTGAGTGAGTGAGTGAGTGAGAGAGAGAGAGAGTGATTGGGAGAGTGCAAGCGCTTCTTCAAGGAATCACATGTGAGAGAGTGAGCGAGTTTTATTTCAAGGAAGCTCTCCACCCGCCCTCAGACGGGGGGAGCTTCCTTGAAGCGTGAGCTTTCCTGCGTGCTTATTTGGTCAGCTATCCTGCCCTTACTTGTCCCACAACCTTGTAGCGGAGGAGAGCCATCAGGCGGCACTCTATGTCTATAACTGTGCAAGAGTGTCGAGAGAGTGTCATGCAGTCTCCAATACAAGTGCCTCACAGGAGTTCACAAGAGTGTTTTTCAAAACACGTGTATTGGAGATTTTCATATTATATAGTTTTTTTTTTATTTTTTTTGTGAGTGTGTCACTAGTGTTCTTTGTTCTCCAATACAATGTTGTTCAAGAGTGTCCTAGAAGAGTGTGGCAAAACGTCATCCTACATGAATGTTACAAGAGAATCACCCCAGAAAAGTGTCCAAGAGCGTCGCACCAGAATTTGTTTGACCTCCCAAGGTTCGCCGTATGTGTCAATATGAGTTTCATTTTTCTGAAATGTGTGATTAGTAAGTGTGTTGTATTGGGTGTGGTGGGTTTTTATCAATCCTTTTTTGCACCAGAAATGAGGCAATACCACTAATCTCTAATCCCTGAGACTTTGGACTCTGCTGCGGGAGCAGAGGGAGCAGCAAGGCTCAGTACAAACATGGGATCAGGTTTCCCTTGGGTGCCATCAATCGACTATTTCTAACATACTTGATTATATAACATACTATTTCAAGTGGAGCCCGTTTTCGAGAGTTGTTGTGAAACTATGCAGTCCCTGCTGCGCATTCTGAATCGCCTCCGCAGGTACTATTCCTATGCTGCTGGAGTTTGTGGCTTGGCACTGGCCTTATCAAGCTTTTGAGTGAGTGAGTGAGTGTTCTGAAGCAATGCTTGACAAGGCTGGACCACTGCACGGTCTCGCCAATCAGGAGAAGCCGCGCCTGCAACATCAGGGTTTTAGGAATAGCGCCTTTTTGTTTCCCACCTCTTGACGGAAGATAATCGTTGCATATGGGACCTCGGGCTTAGGTTCTGTAAGCACAAGACACGAAGAGCAACACACATCAAGCAAAGAAAAGCAAGAAGTACAAAGAAAACAACATAGAATGGGACAGGTTACTACTAAAGGTTCCCAAAAATCATAGGCACTACCGAGGTCTTCGATGTTTGAAGTGAAGGGGACCTGTGTAGAACACTATAGAATTTGATGTCATTGTGGATCGTGTTGTATAAGGGGATATGTATATAAGCTATATAAGATAATCTCTGTATTTTTCAACCGACAGGTTGTTGAGTCATGAAGCTGACAGGAATGCCTTCGTTGGTTAAAGAACACCAGGCAAGAACTGGGAGGTCTGGGTCCTCAGAGCGAAGACCTACCTGGGGCCGCGGCAGGCTGCGGCAGGCTGCGACACATTTCAGGTTACTGAAAGCTTCTCAACATATCAATTTTCTCTTGTTTTGTGAACTCTTTCGTTCTGCATGTCTGCCCCGCATATGTTAACATATGCTGTAGCTAGCATGAAACATATTGTGGCTTTTCCTTTAGCTTCATAGCCAAGGCAAGGAACCCACAGTGGAGGTGCTGACACAGTTTGCAAAGGCCGCAGCCTTGGCGCTACTAGTGTTTCAGCAACATAGACACAGCCTCCGACTAGTGACATACTTTGCATGCTTTGCACACCAAGCCGGCCAGCAGTTCTGACAATGGA